GACGCGCCATTTATCGGGAGATACGCAGCGAGAGGTGCACGGAGAGGTGAGAACGCTGAAGAGCACGACGATTAATCCGCGGATGGAAACTTTAACCACTACTCTACCGTTCTCACGAAGGCATTTTCATTGCGAAGTATCACATTTCCCTTGCCGATCTCTCTCCCTCTTTACGATTAAAATAAGGTGGAATCTATTTTTTTAAGATATTTTTTTAATTCACACACATATTTCTCTTTCTTCTTCTTCCTTTTATGGTCCAGGATGTCAGTCCCATTAGCAAGTTGTGAGTCTTTGCATTCATATTTGCTATCTTCTGTCTCCTTACGTTCTTTAGCGAAGACACGATGCGTATTGTTCGATGGATTCGAATAAATCAGGGAAATGATTAAATTTCTGTTCTGACTAGCACACTTTGAAAATATTCGTTCACCAACCGAACTTTTCGACTAATGATTTCGACTCTAGTTTTTACAAACTGCGACGTCGCGCTAAGTAAGACCGCATGATTTTAGTTATTTTCCAATTTTATATAATTTTAGTTATTAATCGAACTCGATATAATTTCTTACACGCGATTGTCATACGAAAATAATAGAGTGATAAAGTCAAATTCCACATCGATCGCACTCAATATTCATTTGAAAGAGGGAGAGAGAACATGAATTGCGGTCTATATTCCGAGTTATACGTGCGCGCGATGAGAAAATACTAGTGATTACATTTTGCGTGCGCCTATGAAGAGATCACTGTGCGTACGTGCGTGCGTTGGCTGTTGCGTGATGGCCATAGGCGCCAAACACTTCCTTCGCGGCGGCATATTCTTGAATTCGGCGAATAAATTAGGCATATATCCGATATAATAAATTGAGAAAGAAATATCTAAAAATTAACAAATATTTATTGAACGGGTACCATTAACATATTGACTTAAAATACTCGGTTTAAGTAGACAATATTCGATTTAAATGAAGAGAATCTTGATTTAAGTAAATATGTGTCAACGCTAACCACTCAATAAATATTTGTTAATTTCTAAATATGTTTTTCTCAATGTAGAGTCTCATCATAGTCACACTTTTTATATCCAATCTTATCATTCATTTAATTTTATTAGCATGCAGCACGCATTTCGTGCGAGCCCTTCCCCATGTTCTTTTTTTATCTCGTGACACTCCAAGAGCGTGTTATTTAGCTTGGTTTTAATATCTTCATAAATTATACCGTAAAATTCTGTCTCGTTCTCTTCTATTCTTTCGCATTCTCTTCTTGACTCTCTTCCTCCGTCTCCAATTCTCTCTCATTCTCTCCGATTATCGTCCATTCTCTCCCGTTCTCTCTTTCTTTTTCCCTTTTATCCCTCCACATTCCCCCTCTCTTTTTCTCGCATTCTCTCCCAACTTCTCATTTTTGCCTCTTTCTTAACTTAATCTGTTTTTCCGTCTCCGTTTCTGCTTCCTCTGTCTGCTCTGTGCTCTTCGTCTCCATAAAAAACGTCTTCATACACGAAATATTTTTTTAACTGAGTACGTATGGAGCGCTACAAGGCGTCTATATGCTTAGCGCGCTTTGTTTTTTGAAAAGATAATTTTTAAAGCGACACCAAGTCGTTACAACTAAAATACGAGACATATCGCCTAAGAGTGAGCATAGATGTAGATAAATGACAGGTCGGCAGGTCGACTTCTTTTGATTTTATTTGCTTGGTTACTTGATTCTCCTCGCCCTGCTGTCCTTGTCTATCTTCATTTTTTTCCGGAGCCACTGATTTTGTGTCATAAAACACACAGCTCTTTATTAGATAATTTTATCTCGCGAACGATCCGCGCGCATGCCACTAGCTGTGTTATTTTTTCCAAAAATAATTTATTTGGGTTTCGCACTGTATTTCGATATATTGCGCTGTATATTATTCAATCATGCCAATAATGCAATGATATTATAATACATTTACATACTTAATGTACGTATGATACATATAGTATAGCATGGTAATACGATAATACATAATAATACTGTAATATGATAATACGGCGAAATGCGCGTACTTGATAAGCAAGGCGATGTTTCTTCGAATACTAATATGTGTTTATCCGTCGCTGGAAATACGAGAAGCCAGCAGTCGCGAGGTTAATAGTTTCCTAATTAAGAAAAGAACGCGTTGAAAAAAATGGAAGAAGAGCAGCATCGATTTCACAAGTAAACCGGGACAACGCACCGTTAGCCGCGGACACTGCAACAATCGTGCGCCTTGCCCCGACATGTAAAACAAAATTTACCTCGATAGCTCCGTGTCGGATTAAATCGATGAAGTTTAAACGAGAAAAGTTCAATTGCCCTAAAATTTCAGTTAGCACATCAGTGACGTTTTCCACCCGGAGACTTTAATTACAAATGTAGGGTCCGCGATGTGAGTAGCGCGGTTGCGGTATAAAAATTACCTTCCCGAAAGTTCGAGGAGAATAATCTGAATTAAAAGAAGCAGGAAAGGAAGTAGGAAAGAAAAAAAATCCCGAGTTTATAAGATTAATATCCTCAAGTTCTTACGAAAGTGGATTAAGCCACCGTCGCCTTGAACTCTTTAATCCGAGTTTCGCGTATCTTCCTCCAAAACACCGAAAATATTTTTCGAATTGTATCACAAATCGGGAATTACGCACTTACATAATAATTTTTACGCAGGCCTGTCAACACGTGTCTGAATGCGAAAGCACCAGAAAGAGAGACAGACGGATAGATAGAGAAGAGAGAAGAGTGGGAGAGAGAGAAAGAGAGAAAGATAGCGAAAAAGAGAGGGAGAGAGAGAGAGAGAGGAAGGGAAGAAGTAAGGAGAGTGAGGGGGAAGGAGGGAGAGAGAGAGAGAGAGAGAGAAAGAGAGACCCTCGCGATACTGGTCGCGTGTCGTACAACGATGGTGACGAAGATTAGTCACGATTACGCGTGTCGTGCGGCAGCTAATTTTCCATTATCGAGATACAGCTAGGTTGCACGCACCCTCCACGGATTCCTAGGGCTGGCTGCGTTCTCGCGCGCGTGCTCCGTGCATGTGCACGTGCACCGGCGTGCGATCACGTGCAAAGTAAAAGTGGGGGCACCGATTGTTCGTTACTTTCTACACCGATAGTCCGTTAAAGCGCGGAGAGATGCGATTCGAGCGGATTGCCGCAGGTACGCGCTATCTTCGACGGCGAATCCTCGAGACTCGCACGGGCCAACGGAGTGCTCTAATCAGTTATTACTCTCCGGGCAAACGATAATTACGACGTGCAATTGATTGTCGGCGCGCGTGCCTGGCATCTCGCAGAAGCCGGCAGAAGCCGGCTGCTCGATATCGATGCTATATCGCTTTCTCGTGCGGTCCCTTAACGCTTTGGACATGAATGACGTATGCACGGTTCGTGTTCGGCGCGCACATTTCACTTCGCGCAATGCGAAGTTACGGCGAACTTGTCGAGTGAATATTGTACAATCGGCGTTTTCGATAATCGGCCGAACAGTACACCCGCGCACGCATTACACGTTCCGTCGTGGCGTTCGTTCCTTGTCAGTGCGTATCGTACGAGCTTGAAGGTCCAAGTACACGGAATTTTGCGCTAATGCTCAATCGAGATACGTCTCGTTGAAATTTCGCGGGGGGAGATGCCTGGAAAACAGGTAAATAGCGCACGTGTTTCAACTTGCTAACAGAGGCAGCCGAACTCGTGGCGTAGCCGGCAGAGGGTCATGCCACGAGTGGTTCATTGTGTAACGAAATCATTAGTGCAAGAACGAAATTGTTGCTGCGAAATCGAGAAATGGGAGTTTCTCCACACGAAAGAGAAACAACTCCGTCAGTGTGACTGAATTTTCAATACTTGGGGACCGGACGAAAAACTCGCTCGCAGAAACAGAAAGATTTCTGTAGGAGAGATTCTTACGTAGCCAATCGGCTCTCAGTTTCAACCGAGTTTTAACGCAATTATACGCTCGGATGAGTGTTTTCGACCACGGTGACGGAGATATTACCTCTCGTTAGTGAGTTTTTCATCCGGTCCTCGTTCAGTCACGCGAACGGAAATTTTATTTTCGTGCGTTTCCTCGTCGGATGTCGATGCGCCTGAAGATCGAGTACCATCCCGATATAAGTTCATATTGTTTATTGACGGATGACCATCGGTCAATGTTTCTCTGCACATGGAAAAAACAACTCCATTGGTGTAACTGAATTTTCCGTTGCCTGGGGAGAACAGGGATCAGAGAACTTAGGGAAATCCCTGTTGGGAGTTTTCCACTCAGTCAGTTGTCTCCAGTTATCTCAACAGAGTTTTAATACAGTTTTATGTTGAGACGGATGTTCTCGGTCGCGCGGCGACAGGGACACCGTTTCTCATCACCGAATTTCTTTGTCCGATCCTTACTCGGTTGCAGGAACGGAGATTTTTCTCGTGGACAGGAGAAATAATTCCGTTAGTGTAACTTTCTAGTGTAACTAATTATTATTGCAACCAAGTTTTAATACAGCCGAACGTTCAGATAAGCGTTGCAGTAACGGAGATATCACGTCTCGTCACCGAATTTTCATCTGATTCCCACGAATCAGTTTCACACGAATGGAAATTTTTGGTTTCCATGTACGAGAGCACTCTTGACCTCTTCACTAGATTAAATCAATGATAGCTGACACTAACTAACCTCAGAGTTAGTAATATGATTGGACGGACCAGTGTGTCACGTGCAACTTGTGCTACAACTTAGAGGTCGTTTACAATAGAAGTCATAGGTCGTAAGGTCGTAAAAAAACTGGCCAATCACAGTCGTCTATTCTTCCTGAGGTCAAAGAATAGTCGACTGTGATAAATTTCCTTATGGCTTTAACCCTTCTACTGTGATTGATAAATTTTCTTATGGCCTTAACCCTTCTATTGTAGACGATCCTTTATACACTATTATTTGTATATTCCTTTATTTATAACACGTCAAAATCAATTTCTTATTTAGCGGTTTATCTGACCCTAGTTATTTTGAACGTGTGTCTGACGGAACTCACGCTCATTATCTCTCAAGCAAGACTAGACGAAATTCAAAGTCCAAATTCTAAAAATAGCACGCTGCGCCGTATATAGCTATCGTAGCCGAGCTGATACGAATAAATAAATAATCCGTCATAAATCTGGAATCGCATATCGAGTGTCGTTCTAATTAAACGTACCATATTGACCGTATTGACTCGTTCAGACGTAGTACGGTACGTAAATACTCCGGGAATTTTTACGCCTTACGAAAGATTCATGATTCTCCGTACCGATTCCGTGGCAGCGAGTAAGGAAATGATTCCCAGCCGGAGGAATAGCTATTCCGAGTACGGCTGATGACAGGAATAATATGATTTTGAAGAGACGCACACGATGTGGTCGATAGGTACGGGAAGATTCGTTGGAAAACTTCGAAACTTCTTCACACAGAACTAAACATTTTTATTTCTTAGACATTTTGTTTTCTCTCAAAGTATCGATCTGTCGCGCTATTTCTGACACAAGAGAGGAGAGTCGTCTCCAATAGCTAGCTGATATTTTTTAAAATATTCGCGGGCGCGGCCCGGTTTCTTTTCTTTTTTTTTTCTCGTAGATGCGTCGATAAGCGTCGTAATGCGATTTAGCGCGTTTGTTATGCTAACGCCTCTTGTCTCGCGTCTAGCCAACGATAGCGCGAAGATAGCGTCGTGGACCTATCTTCGCCAACTGTTAATCAGCCAATCTCGCGATATAGACCTGAATAAATCGAAACGCAACGCAAATAATCGGGTTTCTGTCATTGTAGTAGATCAGATTACAAGATATGTAATATTAAAATCGTACCCCGCCGACGGCGACGACGACGACGAGCACGCGCCGGCTCCTCCTTGGCCAGCCCGCGACACCCCCAACGTTGCGCCGTCGATTTGTCGATGCGAGACTTCGTGGTCGTGACGTAGCCGTGGCAAGAGCGGAAAACTGTGGTAGGGACCTGGACTATCTGTTTTGATCTCTTCCGACGGACATGTCGCGAGTCCTTCTGTCCGTGGTAGTGACACCGTCGACGTCAACGTGCACGCCGCGCTCTGCTGTACTTCTCGCATCATCATCATTCGACCCTCGTTCCCTTGCCCAGCCGAATCTTCGCCCTTCTCTCGCGCCTCGACTTGGGTGGTCTTGCCGTGCCACCCGCTGGACCACACTCTGTCATACGTCGCTCTCGATTGTCACGATCGATCCGTCGTTGGGAAAGCGTCGGACGAATCTCCTCCGCTCGTCTCGGGATTTTGCTCATTGTCGCGGCGAGTCGCGTTCGCGCGCGTCCGATACCGCGGTACCGACAGTGAAATTCAGGAGAGTCCGCGACTTCTCCCTCGACTAAGACAGAGCCCGTCCTATCGTTTATCGTCGCGACGGCGCAAAAACGGCGTGACTTCGCGGAAACTCCGCCGAAGACGGACGATCGACGTCCAGAGGGAAGTAATATTCGCACTTCGCAAAGAGTCAACCACGAGGACAGACGAAGAGCGCTTCTCTCGCCGGCAGGACTTCGACGGAGCAAGAGTTCGCGAAGTAAGTCTCGTTACTTCCGCTCGATCTGTCATCGCTTCTTCGAGTACAGTGCCTCTTCGTTGTTCGTCCCTCATCAGATTTTCAGCCCGCTAGCTGAAAATATTACGCGACATCCCGCGTAACTGTGGCTGGCGGTATTCATGGGCAGATCTTATATTTAAGATCGTCTCGAGTTCATCCGAAAAGATAAGGGTAAGATGAAGATAAGGATTGCTTCAATGGCTATATCCCAGTAGAAAAATTTCTAGGAGAAACTGGTCGCCCGTTAGAAACCGGCCAATTTTTACTGACTAGGATTTTTTGGACAATAACTGTTTGGAAAGTGTGGGCAGGAAAATATTGGTTGGTGTATTTCTTGACCAGCTATTGACCGGAAACTAGGCAATAGAAAAAGTAAGTAAAACTGGTCAGTTTTACTGTTTAATAAAAAATTGGAAAATCTAGTCAATGTTTCTTAATCAGTTATTAGCCAGAAACTAGGCAAGAAAAGATGGTAAAACAAAGCTGCAATCGTCTATAATGAATCAATGATGAATGAATTTGCAAAAGATTCCACCCTCTGAAAAAAAACACGAGTTTTATATTATTTTTATATATTGAATAATAAAATATAATATTATATCATTATGTGGAATGTAGAATCAAATGATGAAAAATATTTGACGGAATTTTGTATAAAAATGGTTTAGTTAGAAAAACTAGTCAAAAACTGATTATAAACCGGCCAGAAACTGACAAGTTTTACCGTTCAGTTATTGGTGAAGCAAGTATCGCCTAAAAACTGGCCAGAAACTAGTCAGTAACCAACATTCTTGGCCAATTATTGGCTGGAAAGAGGTCACTTTTTCTACTTGGGATATATAGCATCTGAAGAGGATATATAGCATCTGAAAATGAAATGAAATTTCTTAAATATATGTTTTTAAATATACAGTCAAAGAAATATAATCTCATCCTTAGAAGAATTTTCTTGTGGTCACATATAAAAGTATTTTCGCCGTAAGGATAAGATTATATTTTTAGATGTAAGATCTGAATATCAATCTAAATGCCAAACTGAATATTCGAAACTGAATCTTAATAATAAGATCTGAATACCGCTCTATAAGGCACAGTTCGTCCTGCCAACTTTTGCAGATTTGAAATCACCTGAAGATAAAAATTCCCGAACGAATATTTAAACTTTGAACATAGAATGTATGTACGATACTTGTATATATATTTTATGTTGAAAATTTAAATATTTATATTTAAAAACCAAAACAATAAGAATGTCCGGGATTAGGTACAGCGTCGGCACTTTTGCTTGAATTGTTGTTTCTTGAAATGATCATCCATCAATAAACGATGTGAACTTATGTCTCGTGATGATACCCAACTATCGGCGAAAATTTACACGAGGCTCGCGACGCAGCTTCATTTATCGTCGACTTACGTACTCAACAAAATAAAATGGGTTATTAGCCGGGAGTGTGGCTCGTCGTGTGCATTTTGTCACGTGCGATCCTCATTAAGACTCTCTCGATATTCGACATGATTAAAACATCGCTAATTACCGTAGTCCCGGTGTTCGGCGTACCGTCGGCGTGACAACAGGCAAGTGACAAGTGTATAAGTCGACGTCGAGCGATCCGCGCGCGTCAGGGAGGTGCGAAAGCCCCATATGGCACGCGTTTCCACCGTGAAATCTCGAGCGAGAAGCACACAGATAAGCCAACAGAGCGCATACCATCCGCGTGTGCATCTATATGCGGAGTGACGAATTGTCGTCGGATGTTAGTGCGATTAAACGCTGACAATTCCTCGCGGCGCGTCACAGCTACATCACGGCGATGACGAGGTCGTTACTCAAATTAAAGGCAGACGCGACGAGACGCCAAACGCGCCGACGACTACGTTGTCGTCGTTGTGTCGTTCGGGGAACGCGTCCTGTCGCTCCGTCGCGATTCGTTCAGCTAGGCTCGTCTGGCCATTTATTCGGTGGCGCACGTTGATTTTGGCATGGGGCTGCTCGTCCGTTGCCATTACAACAAATCCGCGGTTGCGACTGCAAAGTGGCAGGCCGTAGATTCGCCGCCTGCTCCGCGAACGAGATCGTGAAGGCCTCCGAGCCGCACACTGAGTCGATACTTTCGAGATATAAATTGAGCACTGATAAAGGCAGAGTGTGTCGCGTGTTGGTAACTTCGCAATAATTCCTTTATCGCTTTTATAAAGTGCGGACGAGTCACGACGCCTCTTCCTCGTCCATGGCGACGATTCGCCTCTCGTGTAAACACGAGGTTGCTGCTCGAGGAATATTCCCTGGGGATATCGTGAGATAGACGAGCGGTCCGCTCGCGGTTACGTATTGAGTTTGGCGTTTTTCCTGGCTCCGCGCCGTGACGGCGGCCGCCGGCGCCGTCTTCGTCGCGGTCGCGATTGCGGCTACAAAAAATGAGACCGTAATAGGAGGACAATTAACGAGAAGCACGAGCAGCGCTCGACGCCGACCGCGCGACATTTTCGCGCCGTGCGCGAATTGCGAGTCAGAGTGGCGGCGGTCGATCGCGCGATCGTATCGATTGCCGGAGCAGCCGCGAAAGCGGGCGTCGTGTTACCGCGGTCTTCCGCACGAACACCGCAGCAACCGATGTAACACTACCGACGAGTTCGATCGGACTTTCCGGCCGCGTGACGTTACACACGGGGAAAAAAATTCGGTCGGATAAATCAAATGTTTGGTGAGATATGTGCGAGTCCCGGCTGAAGTTGCCGGAATTTTGTTCCAGTCAACAAGAGGTCTGTTCTTTTTAGCTGAACTGTCTGAACTGGTGCAATAAATTGGAATCAGACAAATATATTTTTGGTCTGTACTTTTTAGCTGAATTGCCTGTGTGGTGTGCATTGGTTAATAAGTTGGAATGAGACAAATATATTTTATTTCACGCTAACTTATTGCACCAGTGTGCATCAGTTCAGGTAGTTCAGTTAAAAAGAACAGACTTTTTGTTTCACTCTAACTTATTACAACAATCTGAATCAATTCAGCTAAAAAGAAAAACAGACCTAAGATTCTGATTGATCAAACCAGATTTCTGATCGACCAGAATTGCAGCGGTTTAAGGGGTTATAGGAGCGTAATTTGGGCAAATGCGAGTTCTGGTTAATTAGAAATCTTGTTAATTTAAACAGAATTCTGACAACTTGAACCGAAGTTCTGTTTCGTTCGTATTTCACTAGATATCTGGTTAATCCAGCCTGAATACTTTTCCCCGTACATATGAAGCGGCAGGTTCTCTCATCGCTCGCTTCTCGCAAGATGCGCGCAAAATTAGTTATCGCGCGCACTCGAAATGAAGGCCAATTAGTGGAAATTTGGCGAAATTACATATCGGCTCCGGAGACACCTTATCGGTCGTTATCAAGCTCTGCTTCTACATTGCGACGAGATGTGTCACCCGGGTCACAAATCCCGTCGGGATTATAGCGGTGGAAGGATCCGTGAAATGACGCGCGCAATCTGTCGGCGACTATGGCGGCGACGAAGAGTGCAACTCAACGGGACGACGATCGGAAGCCGACGTGGCCGGGGATCAGGAGCGAGAGGAGTGAGAGAGCCGTTTAACGTTGGCTCGGCTAGCAAATAGGATAATTATGTCATCTTGCAACTGTCTAGCAACGGCGATGACAGCGCCGTTACTGATTTCAACCCGCGATCACGCGACAGCTTTTTTTCGGTGCACGTGCGAATTGTCATCTCGCAGTTCCCACGCAGAAACGCGCGCACACGCGCACTCGGTGGTGCTTACCAACAGGATTCGTGATATTTATTCATTTCTCTCGCGTGTATTTTATCCAGTATTAATTTTCTGGGTTTTCCTGCAGATCGTACCATGAGAGACAGCGCGGATGATCAAACAGAACGGGGATATATAATAAAATATAATAAAAAATTAAAAATATAAAAAATATACTAAAATATAATAAAATATAATATACAGGGTGTCCCGTCACTACCACATTATCTTTTAAGAGCGAATTCCTGAGGTAATTTGAATAAAAAAACCATAATGCAAAAATAGCGAGGCTATAATACTTTTTAAATTATAAACGATTAAAGTTGACCAATTATACTGGCTAAAATACGCGCGCTCAGCTACGGTACAACATATAATGGTGCATGCACAGGTCGTCTCTTCCAAATATTGATACGGAAGTTCCATATATACAACAACGTATGTAATAATAATCTGCCTTTTCTATCATTTAAATAAACATATCGCAAATAATAACAGTTTCGTTAAAATGTTATGAATAAAATATCACACAATACATTTATGAGAATAAGCTGTCACACGTTTGACGTTTCTTTCAGAGATTTACAACTAATTTCATATCTTATGCAAATTCTTATGCACCTATACTATTGTGTGTTGTACCTGAGCGCGCGTACTTTAGCCAATATAACTGGTCAACTTTAATTGTTTATAATTTGAAAAGTAAGTATAGCCTCGACATTTTTGCATTAGGATTTTTTTCTTCAAATTATCTCAGGAATCCTTAAGAGATAACGCGGTAGTGACGGGACACCCTGTATATGTAAAAAGGTCGGGATACGCGTGCTTTCTGTCTCATAAGTCTTGAATTGTCTCTTCAACGATAGACGGATTACCTCGTTCTCTGTGCACTTTAGTTTGTACACGATAGCAGGCGTCAGTTATCATTCTCAACAGTTCTGCTCCTATTCTAACGCTTCGGTGTTATTACATTATTCGAAACAGCGCGCCAGCGTCGCCTAGAGCGCCTTTATTTAAGCGAGACGCGATGCGTCAGCGCGCGGTTTAATTGCCGGAATTAATAATCCATTACAATGCCAGCAGGTCTTTTATTATACCTGATGAGTTACGTGACATACAATTCTGCCGCAGGCTAGGCATGAAATGGATTTTGTTCTCCTCCCTCTTACCTTTCCCCCTCTCTCTCCATCTCTCTCTTTCTATATATATATATATCTCCCCCTCTCTCTCTCTCTCTCTCTCTCTCTCTCTCTCTCTCTCACACACAAATTATGCAGTTAGCAATGTGCGGGCTGAAAATAAATACAGTGCAGATTATATATCAAGTTAACCGAGGTGACATATGAAGTGATAGATAGGTGACATATGACCCGCTGATACATGAAATCATTTGCATTTTGGTTACAATGTATATATATATATCACAAAATTCGATAAGAAATTTATAATAAATGAGTGAATATTTTTTGCAGTTTTGCAGTATTGGGACGAGTCCGGGTAGCTGAAGACTTCTCTACAAAGGCCTACCATGAGGAGTACATTGCAAACCATGAGGAGTACATTGCTGAAGTCGATCTACGTCCTCATTGTGTTGAGGACGCTCGTAATGGGATTTCCAGTCCACACAGACACAGATAATAAAATTTCTTTAAAGGAAAATAGTATCGTAGAGGGTGTCATCATGAACGATGCGGATGCATCGGTTAAGTCTTACATGTGCGTTCATATACCGCCCGAACTGCAAAATTGCAATTTTGTCAGGTAAGTCGCGGGTATAAGTAGCGAGCAGTTTTCTCTACCGACGAAACAATGTTGAAAGAGTGCGGCCAAACCGCCATAGGCATTTAGTCCCATTTTTTAAAATTTGAAAATGATCATAATTTTGATATTTTCTGGAAGCTTATTGCGAATAGATTCGAAATATATAAGTATCAAGGTATCCGCTCTGTATTATCATTTGATATCTTAACTATGATCACTTATGGTGGCTTAAATCATGGTTTTGCACGGAAAAAAGGATTGGTTAAATTAACCAAATATCTGGTCGAATATTTTATGATCCATAAAATGATCCAAAAATTTCGATTGAAGTAACCTGAATTCTGTTTAAGTCAACAAGATTTTTTGTTACTTCATTCGGAATTTCTGGATCGTTCATATTTTACCAGATATTTAGTTAATTCAACCAAACTTTTTTTCCGTGTGTAATTTCGAACGAAAACATTTGCGATATTAACAATGATCAATAAAATATCTTATTTTTCTCATTTTTTGTTCATTTTTATATGCATTGACCTATGCCGCTATCTCTCGGAAGTGAAACTCTTTTGGATCATTTTCCTCTGAAACGATGTAGAGCGCCATCTTGATATTTATATATTTGGAATCTACTCGCAATAAACTTTCAAAAAAAACCAAAATTATGGCTATTTTCAAACTTACAAAAAATGAGGCTAAACTTGGCATCATTTTTTGCCATTTTTTTATAAAATAGTTCGGATTTGATCTCTCTAATGTGTGCGCGAAATACTTTATCGCCTGATAGGTCGTAATTTATTAAAAAAAATCCGTGATCAGAAAGGAAGACTGCACGACATTCGTGTATGACACATCCCAATCCACTTTGTTTCCATTCGTATTTATGTATCCAAAATTTCACTTCAGTTACCACATAACCACGGAGAACTCCTGGGTGTCGGGAAACGGGCGAATGAAAAAGGGAAAACGTGAGTTATTAAACGATAACAGAGAGAACATGCTGCACTCGCTGAAGAAAGTTTTGGGAACGGGAGAGCGGTTTCCGAGACAGAAACTCGGAAAGATCATATACGAAATACAAAGATGCGTGCCGCATCGGTAAGAACTTCGTAAATAACACTTATGCATCTTTCAGCCGTAACACTAAAAATAATGATTTTATGAGAACGCAAAATCATGTAGTAGCAGTCATGTGGCGCCAATATATAATAGATACTTTTGAAGTATATCGTGTTATAATAAAGTATCTTACTATTTTTACTTCGCAGATTGCCATTTACTTTGCCTTGGTGCACGAAGGAAGATCTTGCCGACAAGGAGAACGAGATCTATCGACTTATTCCCTTCGTGAGAAAAGGCACTTCGACAAAATCGCTGCTGCTCCCGGATTATAACATTTAGATAAACTACCAAATCTATGTATTATAACCTGATCCTGAAATCTATAATTACACGGATTTATTGGACTTTTTGGTGTTTCGGTCGATTCTGTCGGTGTTGCGTCTTGTACGTGTGTATGTATGTATGTACGTATATGTGCATGTATAAATCAATATATTTGATACACGTCGAATCTCAAGCATAATTAAAACAAATATAAATATAAATGTCTCTCCAAGATATTGCGTGAAAGTAATTGAGAGATATCAGCAATGAGAGATGAGCAATCAGTTTACTGTTTCGAAATACTCGAAGATAATAATTTTCCACTCTGTTTAAATGTATATCTTGCATCTGTGTATGTGTGTGTGTGTGTGTGTGTGTGTGTGCGTGTGTGTATGTGTGTCATACTTATTTAAATATATGCTAAACACTTTCACAATGTATGGGCGAATTTAGATATTAGACGTAAAAATATAATCTCTGATAAGTGCAATAAAATAAATAAATTTGCATTATCTGTGTTCGATCAGGGGGGATCCTTACTGACGGAAAGATATATCTGACAATTCTGGTTTATTGGAAACGGTCTTCCGCGCCTCGCGGGCGGCACCTCCGCCGAGATAGATCTCACGAGTATTTCTGATGCTTGGATTGGCTCCGTGCCATTCTCAGATCTCGTTTGTATACGATCAATTTCCGAAATGTTTGAATCATTTTCCAAAGTGGACACGACGCCGTTCTCGCGCCGCTGATCTTTTTGTCAAATATACCGCATCGCTTTCCACGATGTGTTCCGCGATATTGAATCTCACGACGTCGAACAACGACATGCCGCGATCGTGCATTCAATCTCTCTTCTAGTATATTTATCGACGGTTTGATAAGGAAGAGCCACACCTTCTACGACGGTTTTCCCCGTCCTTCTTTTTGCCAATCGCTCTCGCGAAGATCGTACAATCGATCGTGTATAATAAAGACGTGCGGGTTTTCTTGGTTACGGAGATTGGGCTCTTGTATTCTTTGGTTCTTTGGGACTAGAGATCTCCAAATAAGAGATCTGCGAACTTCGATGGTTTGCAAGAATATGGCGAGCCCTATTACGTGGCTATTTGTGTGACTCGTATGTGATTTGTAAGTATAAATATAAAATTAATATATACATAGAATGTATAAATTATTAATAATTTTAGATAATATTAATTAAATATTATATTAAAATATTAATATTTCATATGAAAGAGTTTTTATAAATTTTCTAAATTCACTTCACTGGATTTATTTCTAAATCCACTCTTTACTTCGTGAGTAGAGGTGAAATAAGGTTGTTTCATTACTCCCGCCATATTCTTGCAAAGTCATATCAATCAATCCCGATGCGATTATAGGTTCGCAAGTCTTTTAGGGCCGACTTTTTAATCTCTTGATAAACTAACAAACAGTTAACTCACATATCTGTCTTCTCCTTCAAAGGTTTTCCTTCAAATTAGACAGAGATAGACATATGATTTAACTGTCAGTTAGCTTATCAAAAGGTTGGAACAATCGCCCCTTACTCTCGAAAGTCTCCACTCGGAACATCCTTCTTCTCTCTGTGCTCCTCGCTCTTTTTGGCTTCTTCTCAGGCTGATAGCCTGCCCCGGTTCTTTCGAGAATTCGGGCAGCAGCATTGCGGAAAGAACGACGTAGCTCACGACAGCGGACTTTTGAAGTTTGTCAAACGTGTTGTCCCCGGCAGAATTGCTGGCTGCTTGGTGAGGTGAGTTATGTCCAGCCTCGGGGAGAACGAACTTGGGGATTCTCCCGGCGATGGAAGAGCGCGCTCAGCCAGAAGCCCGTGAATCTACGCGCGTCTATTGTCGTGCCCGGCGCGCTCTTCGTGCTCTTTTACGCGTTTTCTAGATCGCGGCTACCTCGCAACACACACTGTGACCAGAGTAACGACAGACGAACAGTTCAACGAACCGAGCCGTGCATTCCCGTCCGACAGTAGCAGGGAGCAAACACACGGAGATATCTCCACTTGTTTCACCGACGCTAATCTCGACTCTGTCGAATCTGTCACGGAGAGCCAGCTCGGGAGCCCGGCGAGAGAGGGTGAGTCCGTTCCGCGCCGAAGGACTACGGGGGACGTGGTAGAATTCTGTCCCGAAGTCCATCGGTCTCTCTCTCTCTCTCTCTCTCTCTCTCTCTCTCTCTCCTGCGTACTTCGATCGTCGCTCTTTGAACGCCGTGCGGTTTGCTTTGAATCAACTCGTCCTTTCCCGCCGCGGCTTTAATGAGCTCCGTAGCGTGGCACTTTGTTGATAGCCCGCGCGCGCAAGGACGCGCTCCAATGTCGGGCAAACATTCTTGCGCTACCCTCGGAGAGTGGCGGTCACCGGCCGCGGGTTCAGCCACCTCCCCGACGTGCATCTATTGGCGATGTAGTCGCGACTAGTTCGTGTGCGCGGCGCCGGGATCGACCCGATCGAGCGCTCGCCCTCGCTCGTCCTCGCGACGCCGTTGGGGGCGATTTGCCGTTTGCAGTTCGGCGTCTGGCTTCGGCGTTTTCGCGCGCAACTTCCTTCCCCTCGATCGGCCCGAACTCTGTGGATTCGAGCGAAAGCGCGTCGACAATTTGTCGGGAGACAATATCTTGGTACCGCTAACGACATGGCCTTCCTCCCGTTCCCCTTCGGGGTTTCGCCTGTCTCCGCTTTAATTGGTTTCGTTTGGTCCGGGTTTGTCCTCCGCGTCGAGCTCCTTTGCGCTCGAACTCCCGTATTCATCTCGGAGTTTTCTCAAAAGCTCGCGGTCACTCACGGTGGAACGAACGCCCTTTCCAGGTGTCGCGCGGGCCCGCTGACCCTTTCTCGCGACCTGAAAAGCTTCGCTCCTTTTAAGGACAGTCGCTCCGAGTGTATTCGAAGGCAGTGGTTAACCGACCAGAAATTTATCCCCCGGCCTTGATCAGGTTAATCCAAATTATCTGCTTTGTGTAAAATAATATTATTGAATTCTAATTGTCAGTAAGAAGAGCCCTAATTATTAATAATCGTTACTAAGAAGATCCCGACTGCCATGCTGCGTTACATTGCTTACCACGGGACCCGATAAGACCACCTTGCGTAAACCAGATAGTTGGGAATAATCTGAACAGGAGTATGAAGTAAATTTCTAATCGAATAGAGGCAACACTACCACGCTGAGGGGCAAAGTTTTGCTAACTTAACAAAATACTAGTAACCGCAACAAATGATGTTTGTTGATGTGGGATGACAAATGATCCCGTAGTGGGAACAAATGATTTGTTACTTCCCATTTGCTGCTCTCTAAGCAACGCTTCTGTAATGGAAACGTAACTAACCTAACCTAAATGGACGAGAACAAATGTGATTTATACCTCAGGCAATGTACGTTTGTTAAAATGACAAATGATGAGAAATGGTTTGCAACGGTAACAGTTCGATCTGTTTTCCTAGCGATCAGCAAACGGCAAACGTGCTTTTGTTCTGATAACCGCGGGATTTGCCTCAACGCGATAAATTGCACGACACATATCTTTTATAGACACACTCGACAGAGAATATCGAAATAATAGTTCAATGGACGCAGCATACTCAGCATACTTAGCATAGTGGAAAGCACCTGCGGGTATGCAACCGCAGGCGTGTCATTGTGCAGTTAACCGCATGATATACAATATAAACAGACAACTATGCAGCGCGTGCTCGCGCTACGCAACGCTCCAGTGCAAAACGGACATTTAATCATGCCTATGTATCTCGCTTGGTTAATAAAGTCGTTGAAGTTTAATAGCCTTTCATGAATCTCTCCGGTGTGTGTCAACCGGCGTGTCTACGAGCCTATAAAGCAAGAGCCCAGCCGACTTTCTTCGCTTTCATGATTTCTACTGATTAAAAGAGCTCGCTGAATAATGCACGATGTATTCGTGCGTTTTGCAGTCAAGTCGCGCGCGACTCGTTAACGTGTAGGCATAGGGAATAATTCGCGAGATAAAAATCGTCGGAATGGTCCCGACGCGCGTACGCGAAGTCGGCGACGCCAACTTTCCCGAGAACGCGTCCTCCTCTCCGGAGGCGTGACGCGAACAGGGCACGAGACAAAAGGGAGACAATGTCCGGCGAAGCGGGACAAAGAGTGACAAAGAGGAAACAAAGAGCAAACTGTAAAGAAAGAGGCGTCGATTTGTCGAAGGTATCGCGCGGACGAAGAAAGAAAAGGAGAAGAAGGAAGCCGTGGAATCCCGAGCGCACCTGGAAGAGCGGGGCAAGACCCCGAGGAGAGTAGGAGGTTGGACACCCGGTAGGGAATCATCGTCGGAGCAAGAGGAGCCGCGTCTTCTGCGTCAGACGAGGAAGGAGGAAAGCCAGACCATGTAAGCGGGACCGAGATAGAGAGACAGACAGAGAGAGAGAGAGAGAGAGTGAGAGAGGGGGGAAGAGCAGAAGGAGAGAAAGGTGGACCGCGTTGTCGCGGAGAACGCGAAGGATGAAGGAAGGTGAGAAGAGGTGGAAACGAAGGTGTGGAGGAAGAACGACGCCGAACGGCGGGATCTCCTGTTGCGGAGAGACGCGGCCGCGCGCGGAGTCCGCCGCGAGCGGAGGCTGCGGTTAGAAAGCCTTCGGCCGAGGCCACACCGGTGCCTCGACGGCTGCATGCCATCCAGGTGAGACCGTTCGTCCGCCTGCTCCGACACGGTGCACGACGTCCAGACCGCGCCAGTATGCATACGGTGGTACCCGCGTGCTGACGGTGCCGCGAGTCCGACCGACTGGTACCACAGCCAGCGCGGTACCAGTTGCCCTACAGTCAGCAGTTGCGATCGCAGCCGCTGCCGCCACAGTCACGACGAGATCTCTCTTTCTGTCTCCCAGTTTCTGCCTCTCTCTCTCTTTCTTACTTCCAGTCTCTTCGTCGTCGTTAGAGAGCTGATCTAATTCGTCCCGCGAGTGCTTCGTCTTCTCCATTAACGCGTCGGCGGTTCGGTCCGATGCCGGTGCGCGTGTTCGTAGGTGATTCATCATAGTCGCCCGCGCCGGCCGAGATCCGCTTTCCTCTAAAGCCGACAAGCGAGGTGGTGCTCGAATACATCACGGCGGGAATTCGGTTTCGAGACGAATAGGTATGTTAATGGGACGTGCTGTGCGCGTGTAAGGATAAGTCACGGCTCGCGGCCAGCGAGCTCGTTCGAGAGGAAAGTCGACCAGGAGGAGAGGATCGAGCTGCTCGATCTTGCCGGACGTCGCGTGAATGTCTCTCTCCGCCGGGACTTTCGTTTTGTTTGGGGTGTGACAAGTGTGCGCGCGATACACGCCGAGGTCACACGCCGAGGTCACGCGCTGAACCTGTCAGCACGCCCTCGTTACTTCGCCTTTTCTCGCGGTTCCGCCCGCGACGAATGCGCGGTGATCGCGCGATCAGGTGCACACTGTCCGCTGCAGTTTAGAAAGTGCAACGAACCGTTTCCAGTCAGACAAATTAAAAGAACTACTATGCCGATGACAGTCTTGTGCGCCGGATCTTAGTGCGAATAATTATTAGAATGGAAGGATAATGATGTTTGACAGCGCCCTATCCTAATAATTATTCGCACTAACATCCGGCGCACGGCATTTGTTGATCTTGTAATACTCTGAATTTGATACCATGTTAATTGTATACCATGAGAGCTTTAGATATATATTGTTTGGGATCGTTTCTAATTTCATTACTCTGCGATTTCTTATACTCTTATACTTAACGATCCGCGCATGCACTCGAAAACATGTTTTGCTGATCCAGCTAGAGTTCTAAATATCACAGTTAAAAGTTATCGCTGTTCTTTGCATCTGCTAGTAAATTGTGGTGCGCAGAATTCAAATTTAGGTGAGTGATTGTAAGGATTATTCGTTTGTCTCCTTTCTCGCCTACCACAGTGAATTTTTATAAGAAGCGGTTTTAATCTGTATGGACGCCGCAGAGAGACTTTTTTGCTAAATTTCACAAATAGTTTCGATAAAAATTCCGTCTCTATTGTCCGTATTGATCAAATGCAAAACATATGCGTATTTGCTAGCTATTTATCTATCTCAGCTAATTTCTCGTATCAAGACAATTTTTGCTGCGAAGTCATCTTTTTTGGAGCGCGGATTTCTTGACAACGTACTCGTGTGTATCGGTGTAAAGATAAGTGCGGATGCGGAGATTCTTGCGAGCGCGGCGTATGACACATCGTGAGGCGGTCCGCGTGACCGTGCGCGACTCCAATGGCAACGCAATATGTACGTCCATTCATGGAAGGGACAGGCCGACGCGCGAGTATCTCGTTAAATTGCCGCGAATTTGCATTCCCGACTTTCCAGATAAATTCCAGAAAAAAAGAACATACAAAAATAAACCGGACACGTGGTTGAATCAGTCTGCCGTTAACATCATGAGAAAGTGAGTCGAAGTTCAATTGTCCTTCGGAGATTCAACTTTCTCGACGTATCTTCCACGTGCGCACTAAGCCACAATCAAATTCGCCGGCGACGTCTCTCACTCCCACGGAAACTCGTCGGGTCGACGAGTCGGCTCTCGTCGCACTCTCCTCATCAGAGATTGCATAATATACACTTATTCAAAGTTACACGCGCGGAGTCGAACGCCCAGTATAGTCGCAGTCGAAATTCAAATTCCCAAACAAGAGCCCCGCGGAAAGCTCGATTGCTCGCTCGAGGGGATGCTGGCGGGATGGGGAAGTACCTTGAAAAGGGAAATCAGAATGCAACGTGAACGGCACGTTTCGTTGTCTTCTAGAGCGTCGAGAGAGGAAGAGGTCACACGCGTCGCGCGGTCTTCTTCGTCTTCCTCTCGTTTCTCGGCTGTGCCCGGGCCTTGGCGGGGCCTCACCGGCCGTCTTCTTCGCGTTCGAGGATCCGAACGAGTCGACCGGTGAAGACACGCCGGTTGCGGCAGGTCACGAAGAACGGGTCTCAAGATGGCCTACATTATCTGGCCTTATCGGTGAGAGGAGGAACCACGGGCCGCCGCAACTCGTACGAGCGACTTGACTAGAAGAGGCTCGGCGGAGAGGTCGGAGACCAGAAGGAGAGACAAAAAATGGGACAAGCGTGGTGCAAGGAGAGGACCTGCAAGGCCCAAGACTCCAAGTCACCGTTGGATCGCGTATTCGTACGATGCGCGCATCGGGTACGTACCAGCGTCATGAGCGTGCCCGCACTTTTTTTTGTTATCTCTTATCCGAGCGTCTGTTTATCGATGATTAACCGATGTTTTTACGGGCTACAGCCCGCGAGTGATTCTCATTAACGGGTTACGGGCGTGCAAATTCTGTTATCTAAACGGCCGCGGTAAATGGGCGTTCCCTATCAATCTGAATCGTTTTTATTGCCTCGAGCGGCGGGAAAGACAGACTCTTTTCGTGTTTCTAATGACAATTGATGTCTCTCGCGAGAAAGTATCAGTGAGCCACCACTATTTCTATTAGACTTACAGATATTACAAATCATATCCCGCTAAAACGTTTAAGACTCATATTAACAGTTGTTATACGAGGTTTGTTTCGCGATATAAATATCATGCAATTCAACAGAAAAAAACTTGGATCTAATTATGAATAAAAATCTAAATAAAAATCTGAGCATCTCGCATGAGACGAGTCTCAAATGACAACTGTTGATACGGGCCTGATACAGATCTGAAAATCTCACTTGAAAACATGTTTCAAGTAACGATCGTTAATACGGATCTAAGATACCGAATACTGAAACAGACTGAACTTGTGGGTGCGCAATAATCTTTCTTCTCTGGTGCCGGTTTTTTTGCAGGAAACAATTCGGTTGCGTAGGAAACAGCTCGATAAACTTGTGTATGACTGCGCGATGACTCCTCTCGCGTAATAGCCGTAGCATGTCACGAGAAACATCTGTTTGCCGTGTAATTTCGCACGACCATTACACCGGCCGAGCCGTTTCTGCGTACGCGATGAGAGGCGGAGTATGAAAATAAAAAGAGCACACAGCAGGAGTTCTCTCGCGCGGGGGCTAACATGCACTTGAAACGGATACGGAGATGCGTCCTCGTTATTATATAACGCGCATGCACGCGCTCACACGCACGGACTTCGCGGATTTACGACATGCGTACTAGGCGCGCGTGTCACGCTAATTCGGAATCTCAGATATGCGGATGCGAGCATAGTTATTGGTAACGCCGGCTGTCGACTTTTAGCAGGCTAGCGCGGATGTCGAACCATGATTGAAATCACTGAACAGATTTATAAGAAAACACTGGTAACTCCTTTATTGAAGAAATTTTATTAGGTGCTTATTTCTCTCTATTTTTCTCTCTCTTTTCTTTTCTTTTTTTGCTAGTTAATTTTTAATATTAAACTTACTTTCTTACTACTAATTAAATTTGGAGTTAAAATTCTTCCAGAAGATTTCCTGTCAAAACTTGAAATTAAATGAGAAAATAAGTCTTAGCTGTCTATTCTAATACCTGAAATTTAGTTTGCGAAAAGCTTTTTACTTTCGTTCGCTCATACCTCAGGAGTTTTCGACGTTTTCGCTGAAAAAAATCGACTTCAAATTGATTACGAAATATATGTGGGAGAGTTTGGCCGCCTTTTTTGGTATCGGTCTGTGCCATACTTAGTCTTTCAAATAACAGTTCATGTTGTATCATAAACTTTTTCTTTCATTGATTCTGTGTCTTTTAAGTGTGCGAATTCAATAACAAGGTATGTTTTCACTTCGTCGCGTGGAAGACTCTAAAGCTGACTCTAATGCTGTGTCCACTCAAGAGCGAGCGACAGTATATTCGATATGTTAGACACCGATCGATTTGATGCAACGTGACAGGACGACAGATGGCAATCGGCAGGTCGTACTTGACGAAGAGACAGAGAGAGGGAAGACAAAAACGTAATTGATTAGGCGCTTTTGAGACACATATTCCCTTTAAGTCGAAAAGTATACATATTTTGCAAAAGTTCTTACTTGTGTACAATCATGTTTACATGATTTGACCTGATTTGGCCGTCAGGGATCCTTTGGTGTAGCAGAGAAGGAGCTATAATATCTAATTGAAGAGAGAGAGAGAGAGAGAGAAACGTGCGTAATTCGCGAGTGAAGTACGTCCAATTAGATGCGGTGCGATAAGTTCGACGATACGACGGTGTTAAACGAGAAACCGCGACGCGCGTCAAGGATTTCTTGTGTAAGAAATGGGAAAAGGGAAAAAATCGAGCACGAGGCCATCGTTAGATCACTTTTCATGCTTTTCACTTTACTCGTATTAGGAGAAAATGATTCGCACACAGCGGGAACTGGGCGCGATCTTCGCGCGACAAAGTGAGAAAAATGTGTGTAATGTAAACGCAAGTATTATTCTTCGCTCGAATGCTTGCTCCTCCTTTCTCTTTCTCGCTCTCTTTCTCTCTTTCTCGCTCGTTTTGTATATGTCTCTCGGCCGACTATTGTGCGACGTTTCTATCTACGTTTTACATAACAAATTTTCATTTTATATACAAGAACCGGTCTGACTTTCATGCAAAAGATCGTGCGGGATTTCGCGACGCGCAACGATGCTGCGGCGGAAGCCGCAGAAGCCAACAAGCCACGACCGATTCGACACGAGCGTGCTTGACACGTTTGCTCGTATTGTCGCTTTGGCACTTTCACTAACATACTCTTCTTCCCGTGCGCGCCCTTACGTACCTACGCCCACGTGGGAGACGGACACGTCGATTAACAAACAATCACCTCGGCTTGCACCACCCGGAGAAGTCGGATTCGCGGATCATCGAGGTATTTTTAGACTTGATTAAATTGTTCTCTTTCGCACTGACGCGCATGAGAGCCGCGTGTTATTCATTCTGCTCGTCTGTATAGCCATGAGAAGAAGAAGAAGAAGAAGAAGAAGAAAAAGGAACGAGGATCGCGATTCGGGCTTGATTTCGCGATCTCGCGCCTCGACGAATACGATGTTACGGGAATATTCTGTACGTTGCGTCGTCGTCGGTTTTACACGACCTTTTCCTGAAATCGCATTTGACGAGTACGTCGGATTGAAGAAACCTCGGCGAGCCGACCTGGTTTGAATTGTTAATGAGACATTACTAATATCGCTGTTATGCATGAGCCCCTCGAAATGGAAAACATAACGTCCTTAGTGACGCATACACGCCCGCACAGAGACGCGCGTATGTGTAGGTGAGCGTACACCGTACGCGCGCGTACGGCTCGGCTGGAATACGTACGGACACAGTGACGTTCACGTGATACACCGTGTATTTGTGATTGAAGCACCGGTACCTAGTACCAGCTCGACAGAATAAAGATTACGTAAAGCATAGCGCGTAGAGCGTCGAGCTCGTATCTTTACGCCGGTCTCTTTCGCTCTCTTTCTCTTCGCTTTCCGCTCATTCGCTCACTCTGATGGTCTTCTTTTTATGCCAGCAAACCAAGCGATATTTGCGTATCATTAGAGTAAGGTTAAAGTCGGCTCTTTAAACGAGTGGCCGATGGAACCGTTTTTCAGGTTAGGCTATTCGTGTCGGATGGCAATTAGGCGATTCCGAGTGTCACTTAAGAATCCAACTACCGCTACCTGACTTGCCAGAAAAGTGACGCCGCGTTTCGCGGCGACATATGAAATTATGACTGGAATGTGGCGCAAAAGTTTAATAAATCTTCCCGCATAAATATCGCGACGGGGAAGCACGGCAAATATTTGCAACATTAATTTCAATCGAACGACAGGTTGATCAGTCAAGCGCAAACAGGGCCGCCGCTTCCCATTGGGTATATAAATTAAAATATTTAATATTTAATATTCCCAATTAAAATATTCTAGAATTTTTATGCGTAAGATGTATGGTGCGACAGTTGCGTTTATGTTACGCGGTCGAATAAATATAATTGACGGAATGAAATTAATCGCGGCCAAACGAATATGCAACCGAGGCCTTTTACCGGAAAGAAAGGAGATAAATGAATAAAATAAAAAAAAGATAGAATTCTATTACTTCTGGAATACTCTGCATTATTACATAAAGAGTAACCAACCATCAAAATTATGCGGATGTTAAAATTTGATGGAAATGCGCTCGTTGCGTTGTAATTTCTAAAGAGAGAGAGAGAGAGAGAGAGAGAGAGAGGGGGGATCACACTTTAGAGCGATGCAGGCACAGCTTCATGGAGGTAGACGTTGGTCGATCGACCTACACGCTACTGTATTATTAATAGATAGTGAAAGTTACATTAGATATTTGTGCAGGAACCCAGAAAATTGTCGACTGTCACGGAGGTGTATAAAACTTTGGTAATAACAGGTGTCGCAACATGCGCAGATTTCACGCTAGGTCTCAACTTCTTGCCGCATTAATATTTGCCGAAACGACTCTGCCACGCGAAATACCTTTGCAAACAGTAAATCTCTCACCGTCGGCATAACAAGCCTGTCTTATTCCGCAGGAAACGCGTTTCTTTGCATGCGCGGCTCAATGCCGCTCACACGAATTTGTGCGAGTAAAATTTTCGTCGAATCGTCAATTCAGTGAACATACCGATGAGAAAGTTGTCGCGGAAACTGCAGCCAATTCTTACCAAGCACTGATATTTAGCGATTCTAATGGAAACGGAGATTAACTCGTATTAATTCGAGCGACGAGATTTATTTGAAATGTGCGGATGCTGCTAATGTATAAATGTACGGACAAAATGTTCGCGTTTTCATATTTTGCAGATTTAACTCAGTTTCGCGTAACGCACCGTGTATCGACATACAGAATTGCTTCAGAAAGAGAAGATGATTACAATTAGAAATTCAGTAATTTTGGTTTGATTTTTGAAGATTTATTTTGACGAGAAAGTGTGATACACCGAGAAGGAAAAGAATATTTATTCGGTCACACTAATAACATGTATTTTCTCCAAGTTAAATTCTTTCGTTTAACCTTCTAACCGTGTTCGTTTCGAGTATACTTTGAGCATGTTCAGGGTCTAAATACATCCAATGGTGAGAACTTATTATTTAATTGACATGTATATATTTTTTATATCTTTTATTTTAGCATTATATAAAGTAATTTAGTACAATATGTACTGACTTTTTCTAAAATAACGCGAAGTATCGCATTTGTATTTAGAATATTACAAAAACTGTGTGAACTGCTTTGAAACTGTTCTGGATCAATAAAGACCCAGAGCACAGCTAGAAGATTAAATAAGTTGCTCTCGTGAAAAGCGGCAGTTTTAGAAAAACGTGTATCTCCTCATTTGATAGACATTTTCTCTCAATGTTTCAACAACTTTTCCCCAAAAAGTACGTATATATTAGTACGAGTGAACACACATGTTATCAGTATATCAGTCATATTAGTACCGTCGAATAAACGTCTCTTATTTCTCAGATATTTTCTCGTCCCTAGTGTGGAAATGCGAAAGTTCAAATTCGCAAGAACAAATCGTCAACGCTCGTATGCGACGTGCGTGACACGAGAGTGTGCTTTCAACCAGACACGCGCTTCCCAGTGGACACGCACGAGCTCTCGCAACGATCTCACGTCGAAGCAGTAATTTTCGCGTGTATTCATCGGCGCTATCGGTGCGTACTCGCGCGAGCAGTCAGTCAGGCGTTCCCGCGAGACTTGCCGAATTGTGTTTCATAACAGCGTAGCTAAAACAATGCTTCCGGACAGCGGCAACCGGTTCCGAGGGAGGTGGAGGAGGGAGAGAGGAGGAGGCGAGGGTCGTAATTTAATCGGTAAAATAACTTTTGCGCCGAGACGAGACGCCGGCAACGTGTCGCGCGCGCTCGCGCTCGCGAGAAGTTTCCCGACGAATTTGCAATGTAAACCGCGCCCGGAGGAACGCCCGCGTGACACGTGTACGATTTCCAAAGGACTGTTCATACGTGCAAGGGTGCACACGTGGACGAACGTATGCCGCGGACATAGTCGTCCCCGTCGTCGTGCACGCGTGAGATCGATGCAAGGATGCTCTTCTCTCCCTCCCTCTCTCTCTCTCTCTCTCTCCTTCTCTCTCTCTCTATCTCTATCTATCTCATCCCGCTAATCTCGTTAACGGGCTATTATTCGCCATGGCGACTACAACGTCTGTGTCTGTGTCTATTGTGTGTGTGTGTGTATGTAACACTGTAGATATATCGCGCATCGGCCCGGGCTCGTTTGTTCGCGATTAGCACGTTACGGGTCGAGTCTTTAATTCGTCGGCCTGTTTTGCGACGACTCCTCGTCGTCGCTCTGCGGCGTCTTGGGCTCAGAAGCGTCGCGTTTACGGTGTAAAGATGACTCGTCGAGCGTGTCGAAAAATGGCAGTCGGCAATTTGCACTTTGCAGTTGAAAAGAGAAGGATCGAAAGAAGAGGCATACCAGTGGTATACAGCACTGACATTCTTCCGGTACAGCTCGAACGAATTCGTGCTCTGAGAGAACAAACATATAAAAGACAGAAAAATATTGATTCGGAGGACACCCCAATAGCGCACTTTCTCGGATCGAAATTCTTTCATTGGAATAAAATAAACAATAGCTTTCGTGAAAAGTTTTGAGAAGTGTTCACTTGAAAGAAAACTTTCCTCAATGCGTACAAATCTGTATCAGTCCGAGCAAGTACGTTAACGGCACTGATCGAATAAATATTTCGCTTAAATTTAAATCTTTTTATTTTGAGTAGAACAAATGTGAATTGCCTTCATGAAGGGAGACTAAAATTAAAAAAAAATGCGTATTTTTTATTTTGCTGATATTTTTTCTCTCAGCGTAACGATTCGATTTCTCTTTTTTTCTTCTCTTTTTCGAAGAGAGTCGCGATACTCTCGGCAAAAATATGTATCACAATGAGTTGAAAAAGGAAATCGCATCTCCGTGTCTCTCGGGCGCGTATACGCGCGCGGGATTGGCGAGAAATGGCGTTCGCTCAAAGTTCGTCCGGCGCGTTCGAATTGCCAAAGTCATCGTGGCGTGAAGCGAACGACCTTCCTCGCTATGCACCGATTCCGATCGACGCTTTGTCCTTTTTCTCCCCCCCCCCTCTTTCCCTCCACCCTCCTCGACAGGCGAAATCGAATCGATTGGCCTGCCGCTCAAAATATCATCTTTATCCTATCCACCTGTCTACACGTATCGGAATAACTCTGTCCTCTTTACAACATGGCGGATTAAAATTGACGCGCGACATTCATCATTCTCCGAACGTTCCTCTCGTCCGAGCAACGAGAGATTATCACCGTACGAAACTTTCGCGAAACTTGTGAGCGGACGATAAAATCACGCAAGAACGAAAACCCAAACGCGTCTCCGACGGGTCGCGCGACGTGCACGGAGAGAGAATGCTGGGGCGTTCCTTTTCATATAAATTCTTTTCAATTTTACCATATTTTTAGTAGTCCAGGGACAGACTGTCAATAGCACATTTCAGTTCCTAAAACACGCCGGGAAAAACACCTCGTTTATCCGAAAACAAAAGAACGCTTGCCGTTTGATGAATAACGTAACCGTTTGTTACAGAACAAACAGTTGGCGAATCATTGTTCATCATTTGTCATCGGTAAAAAGATTGCTCATCACTTCAACAAATGTACATTACACCTGAGACACAAATCACATTTGTTCTCGTCTATTTAGGCCAGGCTAGTTACGACGCCGTTACAGAGGTGTTGCTTAGAGAGCAGCAAATTGAAAGTAACGAATCACTTGTTCCCACAGCGGGGTCATTTGCTGGCTCACGTCAGCGAATCATTTGTTGCGGGTACTTCGTTAAATTGGCAAAACTTTTTCTCTTAGTGCACAACTGGCACATGTGAGACGAAAGGATAGTCAGTTGCAAGACTCTGCAGTGATTTGTATTGTGAAATTTTCTCCGTGCAGCGACCGAGCGGATGCAAGATTTCGCGGCGCACGCATCTCGCGCGTGGCGTGCCATTAATTCGCGCGGAAATAATTGTTGAACGTGCCGAACGTCGAACGCGTCACGAGCGAGTTACCTGGCGAGATATCTCGCGGCCGAAGGTCGATCGTAAAGACGGACTATCGAGTTCGTTGCTTACTCGCACGTCTCTTCCCGCCACCGTGTTTTCGCTCTCCCGCGAGGATACAAAGAGTATTATGCAACGCACAGGATGGCCGCCGATTGCGCAATCCTACGACAAGAGTGTCAGGGACCAAGTCGTGTTTCCGTTGAGTTTATTGCTTGTCCGCCTCCACCTCGGGCCATTTCAATAAATTGGAAGATAAGGACGGGCGAGGGGTAGGAGAGACGGCTGGGACCTTCGGAAATAATTATCGGTACACACAAATCAACTGCCGGGAGTTGTGCATACTTCGGGGTCTAAGTCGCTTGCCGCGAATATTATTAAGCGGACGGACGCGTGCGTCTCTAATTTCATCAGTAAGTTTTAATTCTATTGAGGGGATAAGAGTGGAAGTGGTATTCTATAGATAGGTAACGCTAATTGGATACTGAGAACGTTAATTCGATACTAATTGCTTACAATTTAGACGATAATTTTCAACTTATAACGCGCGTGCGTCGTTGAAATATTTGCGCTTAATTCAATTTGTGCTCGCTCGCTAGGAAGCGGGCCTTCTCCCGTCTCGAGAGACTTCTCGCGATAATTTAAAGAGTTGCTTGAAAATATCGCGTTTCTCCTTGATAAATAAACAATTTCCTCCTAAATAAAGAAAATCAAGCGTCTTTTTCGGGAAGGATTTCACGAAATATTCTTACGGTGATGCGGAATTCTACTCGCGCTTCCAGAGAGTTTCGGATATCGTCGCGCGACCGCGGAGCTCCAGAAAGTCATAAGAATTGCAATGACGAGAACAGACGAGAGAGATCGATGATGTCGAGTGATTTTAATTACTGTGGCGGCTGATTCCCGGGAGTTCGGGAGTCGCGGACGAATTCGCCCAACTTTTCGGGCAGGAATCACGATTCACGGGACACAAATAGACGCGTCTCACGGCTTTCGGTCGAGTAAACGAGCCGATGAACCAGATAATGCGAATTAGCTTAATCGGCTCCACGCGATCGATATAGGACGATCCTTCATCCACCTCGCGTCTTGACACCTGCCTGGAGAATTGCTCTTGGTTTCTCTCGAGGCGCGTCAACTACGTTGTTAATGACTTCTTAATCCTCGACGGTCTTGCCCCATTGAGTCTGCTGTCGGCAGAAATTGAGTCATCCCGCTCTGATGTCTCACGCTGTTACGTTACCATCGCATTTATCCACGAGCCAACAGTCCGTAATTGTAGATATAATAACGCCAGCTTGAACGAATCGCGCCTGCTCGTGTTTCCACTTGAATTATCACGAAGGGACATTACACGACGATGCAACATTCACACGCGTGTCCTTTCGCTTTTGTTTCAGATTTATCCAAGTTTAAAGGAGGAGGGCTCGGTCTTAGGAGGCGCCACGCAGAGAGTTACGAGGTAAACCCGCTTTTTCCTCCTTCTTCCACGAGCTCGTGAATCCCGCGATTACGAGTCATGAACGTACAAGCCGTACGTGAGCTTTATCGGCTACGAGTAACAGGATTTCAGCGTCGCTTTTAAGAGTCACGTCGCTGTAATTTCGCACACGGTTATTGCCAAGAGCGCGCATCATGTTGCTGTTAATTGTGCGAGAACGTGGGGCCCAGGGATAATCACTTAGAGGCGGTTGGGGAATATAATTCATGCGACATATTAATTCTGTAGATAACCGAGCCGATAGAGCGAGTGTCGATAGCTGTTACCTTGTGATCCGCGGAAAAATTCTATTACGTCGTTAACGCGATAAATGCCGTGCACGTACGTGCGTCCACGCGACGAACACATTGCAAGAGAATTGACGAAGTTAGTCGATTTGAGACAGATAATCCGAATCGAAATTTCGATCCTATGTTAAACCTTGATTTTTACAACGTAGTAGGAGCTAAGTTTGCAAAGTACGTTTAATTCTAATGAAACAATTTACTCCTACTTTGATTCTGACGATATCCGAAATTTCCCTTTTCACTTTCTTCTAGCGTCAAAATAAGTTATATTATAGGCTTCAGAATACCAAAATAGGTATTGAATGGAGTAGTGAGGCTAACAGTAGAATCGAAATTTCGACTTGGATAGATTAAATAGAATCAAAAGAGATTGATGTAAGTTTCAGAGTAAATATATGTTGAATGGAATAGCGAGGCTGAAAATAGGATCAAATTAATCAATTTCGACTCGGGAATATGAATATGTCATTATTATTTAAAGAGATAAATCGAATTGCTTGCATGAAAAGTCAAGATTTTAAGAAAATATACAATCTCTTGAGAAATATTTTATTAGTAGAATAAGTAATTAAATATGTTACTAATATTTTATTAGTAGAATAAGTAATTAAATATGTTACCCACCAAATAAATACTTTTATTTTTTAAATACTAGGAATTTTTCAAATACTGGGAATTTTTCAAATTGGGAAATCCATTAGATAGAATCGAGAATCGTCTCGTGATCCACGAAGCCTGTTAGGCAATTATTTCAACGACAATAAACCGACAAGGTTACCGCCATAAGGAAAGGTAACCGTATATAGGTTAACTCCGTCATCAAAAAAACCTGTTGAGTAGTACGCAGTAAATACTTCACAATTAAATATTTCTTTTCTCAGTGCAGTTATATTAATATTAAAATTATAAATACTACTGTAACGTATCTACCAATTTTGGGAAATCCATTAGATAGAATCGAGAGTAGAATAAGTAAAAATAAGTTAAATATGTTACCCGCCGAATAAATATTTTTATTTTTTAAATACTCATTTTCTCAGTGCAGTAATATTAATATTAAAGTTATAAATACCACCGTAACGTATCTACCAATGTTGGGAAATCCATTAGGCAGAATCGAGAATCGTCTCGTGACCCACGAAGCCTGTTAGGTAATTATTTCAACGACAATAAACCGACAAAAGGTAACCGCCGTTAACTCCGTCATCAAAAAGCCTGTCGAGTACTACGCAGTAAATACTTCACAATTAACGGTGCTATCTCCCGCGCGCATTGGAGGCATCGAGTATTCCGATCCTCCGTCGATCGCGCAATAAGTCTCGATAGCGAACGTGAAGAGGAAAGAACGCAATTTCCTGGTTGCGACGGCAACACCTTCCAAGTGAAATCCGAACGGTCGAGCGCGTCATCATCGAAGGTGAGCCTAACCCGACAATGATTCGAGAGGTGCCAGATACCGGCTCCACCTTAAATGGTCACATTGTCGTGACAGCGAGTGGCGATCGCGTCGCGCCGATAACGCAATATTATTTCTAATTGGTCGGAGTCTCTCTCTCTCTCTCTCTCTTTCTTGATTAAATCACGGCATACTCATGATACGGCAGTCACGGGCGTTATAACAAATGGTTCTCATCAGCCTGATACTGATCTCAGAAAAACTTCACCTGTTTTATAAATCTGTCTGTAATAATGACTGTTCCGTATTATTCTCTCTTTTTCTCTCTGATATAGGGAACGCCAAGAGTTTGAAATATAGTCGAATATCTCTTCAAAAAAACATTTTTGAAAAAAATCTTTCAGACGAAAGTGGTAGATTTGTAGAAAAAACTATCTGTTGGTGGTATTTATTTTGAGCTTGGAATAATCTTGAGAAGTCGTCAAGTTCAACTTTAATTTTTTATGTGGATTCTTTTATGTCCTTTTTAACATAAATTGTTTCTTCTACGTCATTCTACGTAAAAAAATATTGAGATAAAAATAATCAAAAGATAAATATTTTCTGAGATATTTTACATTTTATCGTGTGATATTTCGCAGTATGAGATATATCTCGCAGTATCTCTCTCATAAACTGTTCACTTCTCGATGACCTCATCTTCGTATGTAGAATGACAAATGAAATCGATTGCTGTAAAGAAAACATAGATATGTAAAAATACATCATTGCATTTGGCAGTCATGTTGATGCATCAGTGTGCAAATATTAGTATCATCAATCGATTTCTCTTGTGATTCTACAAAAGTATTTAGGTGAAATTCTCGAGAAGTGTGTAAGTAATTTACGAGATATTTCATATCTTATATTAAAAAGTATTACAATAAAGTGTAAAATATCTCAAAAAGTATTCATTTTTCGATGATTTTACTTCAGTGCTTTTATACGCGGAATAAAATCAGAAGAATCAATTTATATTAAAAAAAAGATCGTATGATTCCATTAAAAAAATTAAAGTTAACCATAACATAGCTTTTTAAAGTTATTTCAAAGTGAAATAAATATCACCAACTGATAGATATTTTTTAAATCTACCAACTTTGTCTGAAAGATTTTTTTTTCAAAAATACATCGTTGACGAAATATTTGACTATATCCAGACTTTTGGCACACTCTATATATCTTCGCGTTGTTCTCTTTTTCTACTTCACGCAACGTTCCAAATTAAGATCTTGTCAGGCAATAAAAATGTCAGAAAGGAGTCTGGGTGACATGACACTCGTTATAATGATAAACGTCGTGTAATCGCAGTTTTATTTTATAAATACTAAATTACTCGTACAGAGATATACTTAGGAGGAGAAGTAAACATACTAACAATGTGTCGCTAATATCTCGGATGGGCAAGAAGTTGAGGTTATTGTGACGCGACAATTGAAAGAGAGTAGGAGAGAAGAAGAGAAAGAGAGGGAGAGTAGGAAAAGAGGAAAGAACTGGATTTCGATATTCGATATCTATATCTGACATATTCGGACATAATCAGCGGGACGTTATAAAACGGCGGGCAGGACACGTTGGAGTCTCCCCTCGATCTTCTCGTTATCGTGGAGAAGGATCTACATTGCGTGACAGGTTTATCCTATATTCAGACGGCTTTTAGGCTGTGTGACAGTGAATCCACACAATGATGATCGAGCGTGGGTCGGCTTTGGGTCGTCCTACGTCTCGTACCGGCGCGACTCCTTTTTAGGGTCAGTCGAACGACTGAACCCGCTCGCAGGTGCAAAAGTCCACGAATCCGCGGTTGAGAAATGGCGCTCGATAAAGCCGAAATCCGCGATTTCGACGCGCCCGAACCCTTGTAATCGGAAAAGCAAGCTTCGCGGGTCACCAAGTGACATCGAACTGAAAATCTCAGGCGTGATTTTTCGGGGATAACGCGACGAACCAGCAAGTTCGGGTTATAACAAAAAATTACTCCAATTTTGTGTTGCGTTTTCTAACATGAATTCCGTTTTAAGTACACTGAGAGAAAAAATAAAAAAAAAGATATTACCCGGTGAGAGCACTAATAAGATATTCACTTAAATCTGAATTATTTTACTTAAATAGAATAAACAATTGCTTTCATGTAAAGTTAAAGTCCCGAGAAAAAAAATATAATATTATATTTAATATTATAATAATATAAATTATATTTTTTTACAAATAAGAAAAAATATGTATCTTCTTATTTGAAAAATAATTTATTTTAGCAAAATATGTATTATTAGTAGTGGTACCTACTATACAAAAATAAATATTTGTTATTTCTTCGATATTTCTTCTCTCACACACCATTTGGATACACCCGAGAGTTGTCGATTTACACGTAAGCTCCCCGAGGAGATTTGCTTCCGGGCGCGGAGCATACGATTATTTCGGCGGGCGAGCCTTGTAGTGCAACACTTCGAATCCCCCGACAATAAACGCCGGCGATTAATCTCAATAATCTATCGAGGAATCTGGCGGGAAACGCAGCGGCGCAAAGACTCCTAACACGTTACGCGTGTCATAAGAATTGCACGCCACACACACCCCATGCCGTTCGCAATTATAGCCGCTCAAAGGAATTTACTTTCTCTCCGGTCTCCCACTATTTTTTTTTTCGCTCGCAACAACCGGTGCATGCGGCCACTTCGACTGGCCACTTTTTGCCTTGCTAGGGCGATTAGATTAGAACGATTAGATCGATAACTTAAGCCGCGGTAGTAACGATTGGGTGATCGGCTTTGCTACTACGCACACGACCGGTTAATGTCTCTAATTTATTGTCGGCAAACATATTGTGTGCAGTTACCGCACGAGCATTCCTACGTCCTATCGCGATCTATAGTTATGCGAGCGCACCTCTGCGCACACGCAGGTGCACGCGTGACCTCGTGAACCTCGTGGAAGATCATTCACGGGTTTCCGCGTACAACAAGCTCCTCGAGAGCGCGAGGGCTCGATGTGCCCAAATATTATTCCGAAATTGAAGCACCGTATTTCAGCTCGGACTAATATTTATCGTGCTTGTTACGCTGATGCGACCCGAGAATAATTTCCGGTCATTGTTACGTGCTCGACGTATTCGGCCAAATTTCAGCAATATCTTGTTTGGAGCGAATATCAGATGCAGTGTAATTTCTCGACACGTAACAAAATCGATAAATGGATGTATCAGTGAATATGAATTTTTATAAGAAGACATCAATTTTCTCGAGAATCGAATCGCGCGTCCCTATGCTTTCCCTCAGATCGATCTCTGTCCCCGTCGCGAGAATTGCATATCTCTGTTGTTTTTCTTTTTTACAGCGATAGATATTATTTTTCGGTCACATCGAGAAATTGTAGAGACCCTCCAGACGTGTGCGATGAACTGTGACGACATTAACTCGTCGATCTCCATCCGCTCGTGAGTCATCTATAGCGGTTCGCATTTCGCATGATAAAATTTATTAATTACACGGCCAGCGCGTAATGGATCAAACGAGCATACGTTGTAAAATTACGGGGCGGTAATTTTATAACAGTTTCGTAACCGGCTAGGTATTCCTCGTGCAGTGTGCACCGTTAGGCTGCCTGACGTTGAACCGGCGTTTATCATCAGGCCGTAATTAACGACGCAGATAGTACTGTTTATTTTCGCATTAGTGCCGGCCGTGGTGAAATTAAGGGAGGAAAAGTCGCGTGTTTATCGTAATAGCATTTTACCGTTGATCACTCCGGCAATTATCGGCAAGAAATTGTAATATCTTGTATCCACTGTTGAAAGATCACGAGTGGCTAACGAACTTTGCGAAGTCACGCCGACGTTGCACATCCCCCATTGCCCGACTTTCAATTTCAATGTGGCATATTTAAAAAACTAAACTACGTATCGAGAACTCTCTTGAGATATACACCTGAATCCTTTGAAGCATACACTGAGAGAAAAATTACCTTAAAATCAAAAAATATTTCTTTTATGAGTGGCATTAACATATTTATGGGTATTTTAATTTATTTTTATGGGTGGCATTAACTTAAATCTAAATTCTCTTTATTTAAATCAAATATTGTTTATCTGATTTAAGTAAACAATATTTGATTTAAATAAAGAGAATTTAGATTTAAATAAATATATTAATAGCAGCTATTAAAGAAATATTTGTTGATTTTAAGATAATTTTTCCCTCAGTGTAGGACTTTCGGATTCTAATAAAATATTCATGTCACATGTCTACAATGATAACCCAAAAGATCATTCCTTTTGAAATTAAGTTTCTCTATTTTCCTATTTTTATCAAAACCGCACGAAGCAAACACTACGAGTAACATAAAAAAACTGATAGAATGCATCACAGGCTGAGTGATGGTTTCGTTGCGAGATCCCTATACTGAAGGAAAAATTACTTTAAAATCAACAAATATTTCTTTGGTGGGTGCCATTAACATTTTTACTTAAATCTAAATTCTGTTTATTTAAATCAAATATTGTTTACCTGATTTAAGTAAACAATATTTGATTTAAATAAAAAGAATTTTAATAAATATGTTAAATTTTAATAAATATGTTAAATTTTAATAAATATATTATAATAGATTTTAATAAATATGTTAATAGCACCCATAGAAATATTTGTTGATTTTAAGGTAATTTTTCCCTCAGTGTAGGCCTGAAGCTATGATTTGGTTCTAATAGGTAATCTCACAGTGAAATTATAGTGCTTTAAAGGGTTAAGAAAAAGATGAGGCTTGTAAGATTTATACGTTTTTAAATGTTAGTGCGAATAATGGGAGGAGATGATAATGATTTTTGACAGCGTTAAATCTCCTTAAAATTTCCGAACAATTACCTCCTCAAAATTTCCATTTCTTTCTGATTTAAATTTAAAGTTATAAAAAATACTGTCTCAGCTAGAAATCGAACCTGGACTTCCCGTACTTTGTTTTCGTATTTACCGTATTTCCCGTATTTACCGTACTTTGTTTTCGTGGCCGACTTAATACGGCGTCCAGCTATTCCCTTAATTGTATTTACATAAAACAGAAAGAGAAAGAACAAGCAGAAATTACACAAGATGTCACTGAGCAACGCTCGACGAAAGAAAAGACGAAGGCGCGTGAAAGACGAGAGACACGTCCGCGTGTGTGTCGGAAAACACAAAATTCCGAAAGTACGTCGCGAGAACGGTTGATCGACGCGCAATATTAATAATCACGCTCGCGAAGATAAAAAAGATACACGGAGATATTGCGAGACTGCCCTCGTAAAACCCGCGCATAGCGGAAATATGTTTATGATAATCCGCTCACGTGGCACGAATTGTTTCAGTAATGTGAATTTTAATTCACTCAAGGCCGCAAGAACAACGAGGATGAGGATTTCGCGTAAATTATTCGCGCACGTCGAGGCATAAATTACGCTGCGTATCGGCTAATACGCGCGCGCGTGTATGTGCGCGCGAGTGAGGAGGTAATATAGTAAATAAACTGAGCGTGTCATGCGCCGTGCCTGGCGCTATGTTAGCGTAGGTCGAGCAACCATCACACAATGTTGCGTAGTGCTCGTTCTTACGGACAAAAATCGGTATTTGAAATCCATTGAAGATATCAATGTAAATTTTACATATATAAATTATATGCGGAAAACAGTGTTTATCTTATAATCACTGATCAAATTTGGAACGATTGAGACAGTGAGCATTCAATATATATAAGCTATAAATCGTTTGTACTGGGCAAATATTTACAATATTTATTTTCACTCAACTGATAGCATCTGACAGATTAATTTACACTCGAAATGTCAATTTTGAAATTTGTTTTTGTCGCGTAATTTGTATTGTCATATATTTTTGTCGCGTAACTCCATCATTTTCCAATGACCACGTAGATGTACAATTAAAGAAGAATGGTGCATTATCGCGCACAACTGTGCACCACTTTTATCTCACGACACACACGTCGCGTCCCGTAACGGTCCGATGTAAATAAATCAGCGACAAAGGGCGCTCTGGCGAGACCGATGGAATTCTTCTTCCCTCCTCGTAGATACTTCTAAATCGTTCGCGTGCAACGGGGGTATTCTGTACCGGGTTGAAAGGTACTCTCGTGCGAGAAGAGGAGACTGCAAGGTAGAAATTCCAGTAATGTCTCGCGTCCCGAAAGAGTTATAGCTCGGGGGACGCGAAGAAACACGGAATGCATTTGCGATAAACCGTATAAGCTACGCCGCATTGTACAGCGACTCTGGATTATTTCGGTACATCGAGCTGTACTTTTTGATAAACGCAAATTGTTCCGCGGCACCACCGCTGTGGGAGGGCAGGGATTAACTGAATAACTTTGAGTTCGCGCATCGATAATATCGATTGATGCCGAAGGAGAGAACGAGGATCTATTTTCGCATATCATTTTGTTTTTCTCATTCTCGCGATTCTCGGGACAAAAAGAGCGTACCCTAACTAATTAGTTGTGCAGCTGTTGTAATTATGCTGCTTTTGCCTTCTCTTAATCGCAGATATCTGGTCGTTCCGCTTTCCTGGCTTTTATCGATCACGGTTCAAATCAGGTCTTGGACAATCTCCGCGATTTATCCATACGTTTTTGTGGCCCGTCAGATAATTTTTGTACTACTAACTACGAATGCAATGACTCGATCATTTCCTACTGACGTAATTAGTATAGTATAAAAATGATCTGGCTGGGCGCGCATACGGCCAGCTGAAGGTCGCGAATTCGCCAGACCTGATTTAAAGATTATTTATATATTCTGCACAAGTTTATTGCTGAGAAAAATTTATCAGGTCTCCAACATATTGTTATAAACAGTATAATATATTGAATACTGCGCATGAACACGACATTCGCACTTTTTTTTAATTACTCGCAACCACGTTATAATTTTTGTGTTATTGCCTTTATAAATATAGTGATCAAATGATTTTCTGTCCAAGTAATCAGGGAGTAACCGGTAGTATAAAAAATAGTCTGGCTGGCTGGCTGGCCCAAAGGTCGAAAGTTTGCCAGACCTGATTTAAAAATTATTTATATTCCGCAATTTCGCTGAGAAAAATTCATCAGATTTCCGATATACTGTTACGAGCAGCATGTATCTGCTATCGGACTTTGCGTACAAACGTGATATCGGCGGTTCTTTTTAATTACTCGTAGCCACGCTACAGTACGTATCGCTGAGAGGAAGTGCAGCCGGCCGGAGCTGATACCCGCGCGCACATCACAATGGATTTCCGTGCACTTCTAACGGCAACAATTGCACGTATAGCGATCGATTACGCGTATTAAATTCCGTATCATTCCGCGTATTTACATACGCGATATCGCACGGGCGCGGAGCCGCGCGACCTCACTTAATCTTTTCTGCGTAGCTCCGAGATAGGATATGCCGGCTCACCGCCGAGGGACGTGCTCACGAGGGGCAGGAGCATAGACTCCGTGGACAGACCCTTCCATCCCAGCGACTGGGTGGACGTTAATCTGGAAGTGCCCAGTCCGCCGAGGACGAGCTCGGTTTTCACGAATTTAACCGTCAACACTAGTCCATATCCCGCAGCTACGCCTACGTCCAGTTGTAAGCATGCAATTTATCGCCAGATTGTTAGAACGACCAGCGGATCGTTAGAGCATAAGCCATGGACGCGACGCGAAACGGAACAAAATTAATGTAGGAGTGCAGCAGTAGCGGAGCAGCAGCACGCTGAAAACCATCGAATCGCTCATCTTTCGACGGATATATTTCTCCACTTTTTTTTCTTGCGAGATGTCAACCTGACGTTTAACGGAGCTAAAATTATTTCGCGGTATCGTGCGAAGAATCCGTTAGTCTCGACCGTGGCGAGTCACACGAGCCAGCTTTCTGTCGCGCGTTTCGTACGACGAAACGCAATTTCAAGTACGCGCTTATGAAGTGGTAATGGAAGTGTGTGTGTGTGTGTGTGTGTGTATGCGAGCGTGCGTGTGCGCGCGCGCGCGCGCGTGTGTGTGTGTGAGACAGAGAATGAGAGTGAGAAAAAAGGAGACAAGGGGGAGAGAGGGGGAGAGAGAGAGAGAGAGAGAGAGAGAGAGAGAGAGAGAGAGAGAGAGAGAGAGAGAGA